TCCTATTGTACGTGCCAACAATTCAGAACTGAGTTTCCAGCTACTGATGTCACTAAAACTGTGTTTCCTGTGCTCATTGCTGTTTATTGGACGTCCCACACTGTGGACATGTCAGCTGAGACATGCAGCATTTGGCATCAGCTTTGTGCTTTGCATGTCATGCATCCTGGTCAAAACCATGGTGGTTCTGGCTGTGTTCCAGGCTTCTAAGCCAGGAGCTGGAGCCGGTCTGAAGTGGTTTGGTGTTTTGCAGCAGAGAGGGACAGTTCTGGTTCTTACTTCTCTTCAGGCAGCAATCTGTACTGCCTGGCTTGTTTCTTCCTCACCAACACCTCATAGGAACACCCAGTACCACAATGACAAGATCATTTATGAGTGTGTAGTTGGGTCCACAGTTGGTTTTTCACTGCTACTTGGCTACATTGGCTTTCTTGCTCTCCTCAGTTTTCTGTTAGCATTTTTAGTAAGAAAACTTCCAGATAATTTCAATGAGGCTAAACACATCACTTTCAGCATGCTTATTTTCTCTGCTGTTTGGGTGGCATTTGTTCCTGCTTATATAAGCTCACCAGGCAAATATGCAGATGCAGTGGAGGTATTTGCCATCTTGGCTTCTAGTTTTGGCCTCTTGGTGGCACTGTTTGGACCCAAATGTTACATCATCCTGATGAGACCAGAGAGAAACACAAAGAAAGCAATCATGGGTAGAGGCATCACCAGGTAATCAGATTAGCCAACAAGGCCTCCAGTGTAAATGACCATGTAGCTGTTTGTTCCTACCCTCTGATTTGACCTGGCCAAGTGTACTGCTAACAAAAATATGCTGTAGATAAATCATGCAACAGTGTTTCCAGAGCTGGACTGGTAATCTGGCACACCATGCATTTCCCAGTGGGCCAACCCATCTTGTGGCTGATATAATTTAATTTTAGATTCTTATTTTTAAAAACAGATGGCCAACAACAAGCAGGGACAGTGGCCCAGTGGTTCATTTTCTATACTGACACCAGGCTCGCCCAGTCACATGTCTAAAGTCTTACTTTGGTCCCACCCCTCTTACTCTTTTGTTTGTCATGTCAGTCAGATGCCTTGGCGCACAGTCAAAAATTCTGTGTGTTCAGATCAGGGTGTCAATCCAGCTAGCGTTAGTGATAATAAGATAACATAACATTAATAATAATAATGCTATCACAAAGTGAAAGGGTCACCTACTGCTGTTGGTGAGTCAGTAATGTCAAATAGCGTAGTTGAAGCTTCTTGATATTACCAGCTTTGTGGCAACTTCAAGTGGCTAATGGTATCTAGCTAATGTTATTTTGTCAGCATCACATTGACTAAGCCCATTGCTTTGAGTGGCCTAGGTCCATACTGTATCATCATAATATTGTTAAAATTATTAGGCTAAAGGATTCCTTGATAAAAGTGCATAAAAGGCTATATACCATACAACACCTGGAGCTCTGTTGTACTAAAACATATTATGTCTGCTTATGTTTAATTAGCCTTTGTGGGAAAAAATGCATTTTCAACAACAGATAACAAAGTTGTCATGTGTTTTTTTTTCATCCAGTTAGGGTGGTACATATTAAGGTATATGTGGTATGGATTACTGATTTAATTATCTGTAGGATAGTTTTCCACCTACAACACGTTGACTTTGAGCTGCACCTGGTAGCACATGACCTTTATGTCAAACTCCCCACACAAACAAACAAGCACAGCACTGATTTAATTGACTTAACACATACAATGACCTATTAGTCCTCTCTCTCAGTGTTAATATAAAACAAAAAAGTGATCTATTAAGTGTTTAAACTTTATGCAATATTCTTTTTCTTTTGATGATAAGCACAATATTTTGGGGCATTTGACTAATGCTGTCTCACAAAGTCTCCAGAGGTTGCCCAACAAAATTTATTATGAGGTGTACCATGCTGCAACCTACTGGGTAATTTGTTTTTGTGGGAAGACAATCCCAAATGTAACACTTAAATTAAGTTCATTGACACTACCAGTAGCAGCATATTGCTAATACAATTGGCTGACATTGCCACACAATTATGATGTTTATGTCTCTTATTTATTTAACAGCAGTTAGCAGTTGATTTATTTCATTGAAGCCCTTTTTATCCATTTCTGCTCTTCTCATTATAAATTGATTTCAGTGTTATTCCAGTCCCCGTGGGCCACAGGCCAAATGACAAAGTGGTTGCCAAGACAAAAACAACACGGCAGTCAAATACAGGGACCCATAGACCAACTCTTGTTCTTACTCGGTCACTAGGGATGCCAGCATACACACACTGAGCCACACACAATTCACTGTCAAGATACACAGATACACACACCTCTGACAGCTGGATGGTGGAAATCGAATCCTGCTAAAGGCCAGGTATGCATGTGCTGCTTGTATGGTTACTGTATGTTTGCTAATGTGGGGGTGGCCACCGCAGGTGTATTGATGAGCAGCATGTCAGCAGTTAGTGTGGTGGTCATTCCCTGGACATATGGAATACATAGTCTCAGCTTGGCTTCCACATGCTTTCCATCCCTCAGTGATAAAGTGGAGAACATGTTCACCCCTAACCCTGATAATGCTGCAGATACTTAGGAAGGACTATATGGTATCAATATAAATAAGCAAAATGTCATCAAATATGACAGAGAACACTGGAAAAAAGGAGGAGTACAGGTTTATTCCTTTCATCTAGGAAAATAATATGTGGGGATAAACTACAACTGAATTGAGAAACAATAAATAATTTTAATAATCACTGATCGTGGGGTGGTGAAGCTGTGGATTATCTCAGCCTGCTAATTTCATTAGCAGCCACACATATGTTGTATTTCACTGTAGAGCATCATTAAACGATTTTGATATCATCATACAAAAACAAAAAAAACCAAAGTATTCACAGAATAATTCACTAAAAACTATATGCATATTTAAAAATATTTATTTTAAAGAACATTAATCAATTCCAATATAGACTTGGAGAAATGATAAAACAAATCTAAACATTATTCACCATTTTTACAAAGTCACTGTCAAAGGAAATGCATTTTAGGCCCTGCCCCTGGATCTTCCTCTGCCCTGATGGGAGGTGTGCAAGATGAAACAATACTGCATGGGAATAAAAATGGAGCATCATAGTGATAACTCTTGACTGGGCTCAGAGAAGGATAAACCAGACTAAAGACATGTGGGCATTTTTAGACACCATCATGCTCTTGCCCATGTTGTTGTATTACCACTTTCTGTGTTCTGTTTCCTCCCCTCTTTATTCCTCCTCATGTCAGCTACAGGGACAGTTTCATCTAAATGGGATGCACAAAGCTGGAGATGCGATTCTGGGTGGGCTGTTTCAAATCCACTTCTTTTCTGTCTTTCCTGACTTGTCTTTTACCTCAGAGCCACAACAGCCTACCTGCCACGGGTGAGTCTGTCAGGGAAACAGCAAAGCAGAGGATGATGAAAATCAATTCCATTAGTAAAGAGCAACTTAGATAGAAAGAAAGAAAGAAAGAGAGCAACTTAGATAATTAGTTTGCCTCATTTATTTAAGTGTTATAATTGCTGTTACTATTGCATTGGGTAAATTATTTGCAACATAAATATGCCTGCTCTGTTGCTCTAATATGTTGTATTTTTTTAATAGTAGACAGTGGTATTTTTTGTTAGTTTTGATGTTCTAGGATTTAAACGAGCCCAGACCATGGCTTTTGCTATAGATGAGATAAACAAAAGCCACAACCTGCTGCCAAATGTGACTCTGGGATACAGTTTGTATGATCACTGCAACATACTAGAAATCGGATTCCGTGCAGCATTGTCATTATCCAATGGTCAAGAGGAGCAAGTTAAATTAAATGAGACCTGTGTAGGAATCCCTCCAGTCCTGGGGATTGTGGGTGATTCTTCCTCTACACGTTGTCTTGCTATTTCCTCTGTGTTAGGTTTGTACAGAGTACCTATGGTAAGTGTTGCTCCCTTATAATTTATAAATTCTTCTGTATGATTCAGATTTATCATTAAATATAAAGCCAGTTGTAACCATGAACCAGTCAACCTTACAAAGCTGACATATGCTGTTTTTCACAGGTGAGTTATTTTGCCACATGTTCCTGCCTGAGTGATCGGCAAAAGTTTCCATCCTTCTTTAGGACAATCCCAAGTGATGCTTTCCAGGTAAAACACTAATGAAATTTAATCAAACTCATTTAACAAAGGTATCAGAATGAATACCCCTATACTGCATTTAAAATTATTTTGCTTTTGTGTTTTACCAGTCATATTTCTTGTCTTGTAAATGGAGTTGTATGGTCTCAGATAACAATGTGGAACTAAAAAAATATGTGTATGGTCTATTGTGAAGCCTGTTCGGAAAGTGTCTAGTGAAAGGTTATTCTCTTCTGTGCAGTAATCCCTCCACTTTCTATCAACGTAGGTGCGTGCTGTGATTCAGATTCTGAAACACTTCAGCTGGACTTGGGCAGGTCTACTGATCAGTGATGATGACTATGGACTATATGCTGCCCGATCCTTCCAGTCTGACTTGGCTCAGTCTGGTGGAGGTTGTCTGGCCTACTTAGAGGTTTTGCCCTGGAACAAGGACACAGCTGAACTAAGGAGGATTGTGGAAATAATGAAGAAATCCACAGCTCGTGTGGTCATTGTGTTCGCACACGATGGTCACATGATTGACCTCATGGAAGAGGTTGGGTTTGAAATACAATTTACCTATAACTTAATGTTTATATGTCAGATGGAAAATTTTAATTACATCTTTTACAAGGTCTCCAGTTAAGCACATCAAATATATTTCTTATTGAATAAGTCAAACCTCTTACATGTATGTTGAAGGTGCTGGTAGCAGGGTTTTATATTAAAATTACTTATTCAGACAAATTATACGTAAGTCATGATGATATGCATCACCTTGCTTACAGTAAAATGCAAAGCACAAGATTGCACTTGTCTATGAATGGCTAAAACAAGGCAGCAATCATGTAAACTCTGTTTAATTTAAAAGCCTAGACAACACTTCAGTGGCATGGCATCATGAATTTTCAATATATTTTTATTTTTTTAAATTTAGCCTTTAAGTCCTAGATTTAAAATCTCTTTTCCAAGGGAACACTGGCAAGATTGTGGCAATACAAAGTTACAGTCAAAATATAAGACACGACAATCAACAATATACATAGCACTAATAAATCTTTTAAACTGTCAAAATACCACCTAACAACATGAAGAACAAAATCTGTACTGTATACAAGTGTGTTTAGCATCCTTTTAGTTTGCCACTGACACCAAATTGTTAATTGTATTTTTCAAAGTATTCCAGCTGGCTAGAGCAGAAGACGGTCTTTTTTTTACCCAGCCCTGTCCAAACAATGGGAATTGATACCTGAATTGTATCTTGTGATCTTACAGTAGATTATAGTTGGAAGATGAGCACCTTAAGATCAATTCACAGGAGGCAGTTTATTCAAAAAAGCTTTGTAAAACAAATGTACCAATGCCTTAAATGATGAACAGAGAGAGATGATCAGCTCAGTTTAGAATACAGAACACAACGCTGTGCTAATGGTTTTAAGTTAGTAACAAAAAGCTAATACACTGTGATAGTCAGAGTTCAACATGAATGTACTGGCACATTCATGTATAACAATTCATCATAATATTGGTATTGTATGATACCACACAATATATATTGGTATGATATTGGTAGTATGTGACCAGATTTATTTTATTTCCATAAGTTATCACAATGTCAACAGAAATTGTTAGATCTTTTTTTGCATTTGAGAACATCATTAGCTTAGCTTTGTAAATATTGAAGACTACCTTAAATTCAGTAGCCTGTAACTAAACAATGTTAAAACAGACTCTGCAGTTTATGAAGTATCAATGTCATGCACAGGTGGTGAGGCAGAATGTGACCGGCCTGCAGTGGATAGCCAGTGAAGCCTGGACATCAGCTACTGTGCTGCAGACCCTGGACCTTATGCCGTACCTGGGTGGCACACTGGGCATTGCCATTCGTCGAGGAGAAATACCAGGGCTCAGGGATTTCTTGTTACAACTACGCCCTGAACTACGCCTGAACACCAACAATGGAAATAATTTGGTGAGTTAAACCTTTCAATCTGATCTGGTATTTGAAAGAATAGGAAAATATATTGCCATTGTTTATAACATCCATTTTTGAATATATTTTAGGTAAATCAGTTTTGGGAATACACATTTCAGTGTAGATTTGCACCACCTCCACCAGGCTGGTTGGAAGCTGGAGGAGCACTGTGCACTGGACAGGAAGATCTAGAGAACGTGGACACTGAGTTCTTGGACATTTCAAACCTTCGATCAGAGTATAATGTTTACAAGGCTGTGTATGCGCTGGCGTATGCCCTTGATGACCTGCTGCAGTGTGAGTCCGGGAGAGGGCCTTTCAGTGAGCACAGCTGTGGCAGTTTGCAAAGACTGGAGCCATGGCAGGTGTGATACCAAGTTTCACTGCACCTGTTAATATGAGTAAATCCAGTTCTATTGTATTTCTTGTGAAATAGGATTAAGGGGATTAATATAAATCTATGAGATTGCTTATCATAAAGTGCTTAACAGATAGCTGAAAGGATTTTACCTACCACAGGGTGACAGCAGAGAAGTCTACATCTTGTCACTAGGTATATATTAAATTCAGTGACTTCACTTTAAAGGAAATTCCTTGTTTAATACATTCATAGCAGTATAAAGTTTGACTGTTGAACACAAGATACCACTGCTCATCATGGTTTTTTTATTATCACTTTTGTTCTTCTCTATCTCTCATTCTGATTTTCTTAGCTGGTGTATTATTTGGATAAAGTCAACTTCACCACATCATTTGGAGATCAAGTATCATTTGATGAGAATGGCGATGTATTACCAGTATATGACATCATGAACTGGATGTGGCTCCCTGATGGAATAACTCAGGTTCAGAGTGTGGGTGAGGTGAAGAAGTCACCTCTCAAAGGTGAAGAACTCACACTTGATGAGGATAAAATCTTCTGGAACTTTGAATCTAAAAAGGTTATTTCTATTATTTTTGGCTCCTACCTTTGTGTTTTGATCCATGGATTACTCATTATAGCAGTGTTTAGTAGTGATTTTAAAACAAATTTTTATTTTTCTTCCCCACAGCCACCCCGGTCAGTGTGTAGCGAGAGCTGTCCACCAGGTACCCGCATGGCAAGAAAGAAGGGGGAACCTGTGTGCTGCTTTGACTGCATCCCTTGTTCTGAGGGAAAGATCAGCAATGACACTGGTTGGTGTTCACTTTTTAAACTTTGTATTTTGGAAATATACATGTGTGTGTCTCAACACTTTCCATTTCTGTAGACTCCACAGAGTGCACCAGCTGTCCAGATGACTTCTGGTCCAGCCCCCAGCGTGACCACTGTGTTCCTAAGAAAACAGAGTTCCTCTCCTACCACGAACCTCTGGGTATCTGTTTGACAGCTACATCACTGCTTGGCACATTTATTTGTGCTGTTGTCCTGGGGATCTTCATCTATCATCACAACACTCCTATTGTACGTGCCAACAATTCAGAACTGAGTTTCCAGCTACTGATGTCACTAAAACTGTGTTTCCTGTGCTCATTGCTGTTTATTGGACGTCCCACACTGTGGACATGTCAGCTGAGACATGCAGCATTTGGCATCAGCTTTGTGCTTTGCATGTCATGCATCCTGGTCAAAACCATGGTGGTTCTGGCTGTGTTCCAGGCTTCTAAGCCAGGAGCTGGAGCCGGTCTGAAGTGGTTTGGTGTTTTGCAGCAGAGAGGGACAGTTCTGGTTCTTACTTCTCTTCAGGCAGCAATCTGTACTGCCTGGCTTGTTTCTTCCTCACCAACACCTCATAGGAACACCCAGTACCACAATGACAAGATCATTTATGAGTGTGTAGTTGGGTCCACAGTTGGTTTTTCACTGCTACTTGGCTACATTGGCTTTCTTGCTCTCCTCAGTTTTCTGTTAGCATTTTTAGTAAGAAAACTTCCAGATAATTTCAATGAGGCTAAACACATCACTTTCAGCATGCTTATTTTCTCTGCTGTTTGGGTGGCATTTGTTCCTGCTTATATAAGCTCACCAGGCAAATATGCAGATGCAGTGGAGGTATTTGCCATCTTGGCTTCTAGTTTTGGCCTCTTGGTGGCACTGTTTGGACCCAAATGTTACATCATCCTGATGAGACCAGAGAGAAACACAAAGAAAGCAATCATGGGTAGAGGCACCACCAAGTAATGAGATTAGCCAACCAACCCTAAAACAGCATACTGGCAACAATAATATCCCGCAAATAAACTTTAACAATGTAAAAAAGATGTTGTATAGGTTTTGTTAGTTTTAGCCCCAAAAATCTCAATTTTTGTCTCATTTATTTATTTAGCAATTTGTACTGTGTAAACTGTTTGTCTGTGAATGACTCAGTTTTACTGGCAGTGGTGAACATAGAACTTATGGAGTCTAACGCCTATGGGGGCAGCTAATGTAGATATGCATTAAGACGCATCGCCTGTGGTAGCCAAACAATCAGAAACGGGAATAAAGACCATGTATGCAAAGCCGTCTTGTTTAATCTTCATTGATGCTTAAGGCCTACTGCATGCTCATTGTGGAGGGTCCTGCAAACACCCTGTGCACTTTCAAAACTCCCTGCAATTATATCAGTCGGTTTGTGAGCCTGGCACATGCTGGTCATTTTTCAAAACTTTGCATGTGAGGGTGTGTGGCTCCTTGCTTGTGATTGGCTGTGCAGTATCAAGGTCAAAGTGTTTGTCATATGCACAGTTAGGAACCGTGTTTCCCTGTACAATGAGAGAAGTATCATGTGACATCAGCACTCCATCTAAATAACCAGACATACTGTGTGTGTGTGTGTGTGTGACAGTCACTAATGTGTGATCACATTTGTGCAAATGTGTATTTGGTCTTCATCTATCACCTGTAAGTTTCCTGTTTTATTTTCTCCTGAAAATTTTTTTTTATGTACTCTTGAGAGTTGCACTTTTCCAGTTGGTAGCAGTGTGAGACTGTTTGTTACTCCAGTTAATAACCAGTTATTAAAACACTGTTTCATTACTTTTTCCACCATCACTCTGTATGTTTAACGGATGTGTTCAGTAAAGACATGAAAGATCATGACTGTTTGTGTTTTATCAGGTTAGAAATATTGTTTGTTGATATTTGTGACTGGTGAAATTCAGATCACATTTCATGACCAATTTATGAAGAAAAACAGGAAAGTGCAAACAGTGACATCACTTTTTCTTGTGATTGTATACATAAAACAGGCTAGATAAAACAACAACTACTCTTTACAGTAATCAGTAAATTTAAATTATTTAAAAAAAATCAGGTGCAGTAATTCAGTGCAGTTCCTCTCACTCATCTGTTTTAGTTTTATAAGATTTTTTCAGGGAGGCTGTTCCATAATGCCCTGACTGCAAATGCTTGGTCTCCTTTGTTTCATAGTCTAGGAGAATCTTCAGATTTAGGAACAACTAGAAGCATCTGTGGACCTTTATTAGATGTATGGTAGACAAAATAGTTTAACCTTTGACCTTCTCCTAAGTTGATAGAAACAAAACTGCACAGTTGAGCTGATGTGACTGGTGAGGTTGAGGTTGTTGTCAAATAATACCATTCTACACTGATGGGTGATGATATGGAAATAAGAACCAACTATCTCTGTAATTTTGGGGCTAGCAACATCTGCATCAAATTAAAGAATTTTTTGTGAGTTTAATTTAAAAAAAACATTCATTTTTGGATGTCTTCAAGGCAGTTTAAAAGGGAGAGAATCTCATTAAATTTGTTGTGGTCAGAGCTACAGTAGATTTGAGGAACATATGCATAAATGTTGAAACTGATATTATTGTTATGGCAGCTCGACACAATTCTGAGCGAGCAGAAAATAAACAGACCCAGGCGGCTGGCTTCGGTGCAATTAGTGGGTTTATTTACAGTGCTTAACAGAGGTGCAAGACTTATATACAAAATAGAATGAAGGAATATCACCGGGTGATGACCAACAGTAGTGGAGGGGTTATTGTCCATGGAGTGATGTGGTTGGGCTGCGAGGGAAGGAGACACTCCTGGGCTGGTCAAGGTAGAGATCCGGTTGACTGGAGAAGTAACAGAGAGTGAATGAATGAGGAGACTGTGCATCGACCTGTGAAGGTGGTTGGTGGAGCTGAGGAAGCCAAGGTCCAGAGGAGAGGTCCAGGTAAAACGACGGGAAACGCTAGAACTGAGAACATAAGAGGAAACAGGAGGAACATAGCACAATACATGAAGCAAGGGAGGCTAACGACATAGAAAGAACCAGCAAGGGAGTGAAGGTAAAGCCGAGTATAAATAGGGAGTGACAAAGGAGGCGCAGCTGAAGAGTGTCAGAAAATCAGGACAGGTGTGTTAATCAAAAGAGTCAGTGAGAAGGAGCAGACTAGAGCGAGAAAGAGAGAAGAGAGGAAGGTGCAGCCGGGCAAACCTGACAATTATGTGCTTTTAAAAGTTGTCCTTGAGGAAATTGGGAAATTGCAGACCCAAAGTAAAATCAAGCTGAACATGAAATCCTAATAATTTCCATAAAACAATTTTGAACTAGAGAACCTCTGCTCAACACACTCAACATAAAAGTCCTGTCTTTGAGGTATGACTTAAGAAGTCTTGGAATATTTTTGGCTATTTTGGCTGATTTTTAATAGTTTTGATTTTACCTTTATTTATCACATGAAAATATGCTTAATATGCTTAACATGCCAATGTTTGGTATAATTATTTTCAGCACAACCTCATTTTTTTCACCTGACAATTATTTGTGCACTTTGACATACAACATCAACATGCATGATCATTGTCACCCTCTACAGTGCATAATATCATTCAAGAAATCTGGAGGGATTTCAGTGCATAAAGTGCACAAGCCTAAGCTGGATGACAATGCTCTCTGATCCCTCAGAGCATCAAGAATCATCACTCCTCTATAAGCGATATAACCACATGGGCTCAGAATTACTTTGGCTCACCTGTGTCAGGCACTACAATACGTAGTTACATCCATAAATGCTGCTGTAAACCGTACTGTGCCAAAAGGAAGCCCTATGCCAACGGTGTTCAGAAGCTCAGTCGACTGCTCTAAGCTCGGAGGCATCTGGGATGGAGCATCACACAGTGGAAACGTCTATTTTAGTCAAATGAATCAGTATTTAAGATAATTTTTGGAAGGAATGGATGCTGTGAGCTCCGGACCAAAGACATAAAAGGACCATCCAGACTGTTACCAGCAACAAGTCCAAAAGCCAGGGTCTGTCATGGTCTGGGGTTGTGTCCGTGCCCTTGGCAAAGGTAACTTCCACTTCTGTGACGGCTCCATTAATGCTGAACAATACACAGAGGTTTTGGAGCAACATATGCTGCCTTCAAGACGATGTCTTTTCCAGGGACACCCATGCATATTTCAACAAAACAATGCAAAACCTCATAGTGCCACATTACCAAGGCCTGGCTGTGGAGGAACAGGGTCCAAGTGCTGGACTGTCCCATCTGCAGTCCCAACCTGTGTCCAATAGAAAATAGAGAAATGCAAATTGTGTCAATGAAGACCCAGGACTGCTGCAACTTAAGACTTGTTTGCAGGAAGAATGGGACAAAATGACACCTGACACATTGAATCACTGGTGTCCTCAGTCCCTAAACGTCTTTTAAGTGTCATGAAAAGGAACAACATCACACTGTGATAAACGCTTTACTGTCCCAACTTTCTTTTTTTTTTGAAAATGTTGTAACATCAAAATTAAAGTGAGTGGTTATTTTGAAGAAAGAATAAAGTTGATGAGGTATCACATCAAATAATGTGCTGCTGTGATGTTTTCAATGTAATACAGGACACAGATGATTTATAAATCACTACTTTCAGTTTTAATTTTGATTTTACATACTATCCCAATGTTGTTCTGATTTGGGGTTGTGTTAAATTGCTTATATGTTTTAATGGTACTTTTGATAAAGTTTTTTAATGTTACTATCAGCTAAAGATGTAAACAAGTTAAGTTCAAAAAGTGTTTATTAGTAAAAAATGATTTCTGAATATAAAATGTGGAAAAAAATAAGGCAATTAATAATTTTCTTAATATTTGTGGTTTGATTTTTGTTTGTGTTTTTGGATTTTCAGTGTGTTTTCTTTTTGCACGTGTTTTCACTTTTTTATGTACTTTTGTTTCAAGGGGCCACCGTACTTTATGCTGGCTGATTGATTACTTTGATGGAAAAGAGTTGAGTTTAAGCAGAGCAGTAAAGCTAAGAAGGAAACAAAGCCTGGATAGGTGAGTACCAAAATAAAAGCTTATGACAGAAAGTGCAGTCATGTCAATTATAACAGTTAATACCTCTTGAACACTATGGAAATTTACTTTAAAACATTGTCTAACCATAATGCAGTTTTAATTTCATCCTAAAACAAGAAAACAAAAGTTTACCAGAGTGATTCACTGAAAACTATATGCATATTTAAACATTTCAAGAGCAATCAACTTATTAGATATTATTAAAAAACACCCATGTTCTGCCTCTGTACAAAATCATTCTCAAAAGAAATGTATTTCAGGCCCTGCCCCTGCCTCTTCTGAAATGATGGGAGGTGTGCAATAATAAACCACAGGCTATAGCATGTCAATAAAAAAGAAGTGATAAAGCAGCAAATCATGGCTGGGCTCAGTAAAGGGGAAGCCACAGGAAAGTCATGTGGGCCTTTTTAAACTCCAGCTTGTTCTTACCCATATTGCTGTATTACCACTTTCCATGTTCTGTGTCCTCCCTTTATTCCTCCTCGTGTCAGTTACAGGGACAGTTTCATCTAAATGAGCTGCACAAAGCTGGAGATGTGATTCTGGGTGGGCTGTTTCAGATCCACTTCTTTTCTATCTTTCCTGACTTGTCTTTTACCTCAGAGCCACAACAGCCTACCTGCCACGGGTGAGTCTGTCAGGGGAACAACAAAAAGCAGAAGGGGGATGAAAATCACTTCTATTATAATCAGATTTTAACTTGTATTTATGCCTTTTTAATAATGTTACTTATTTTCTTTTCTCATTATTATTAGTTTTTGATCCAAGCATTACTGTATTTGTTGCTACTGAACTGACTTAACTGTTTGCAAAATTTGTAGTTGTGCAACATGAACATGGTTGCAAATTTATTGTAACATGTTGCATTGTTTAATAATAAAGTGGGATATTTTTGTGTTAGTTTTGATGTTCTAGGATTAAGGCAGGCCCAGGCCATGGCTTTTGCTATTGATGAAATCAACAAAAACCCCAACCTGCTACCTAATGTGACTCTGGGATACAGTCTGTATGATAACTGCCTCAATCTAGGAATCGGATTTCGTGCAGCATTGTCATTAGCCAGTAGTCAAGAGGAGCAAGTTAAATTAAATGAGACCTGTGTAGGAATCCCTCCAGTCATAGGGATTGTGGGTGATTCTTCATCTTCAAGTTCTATTGCCATTTCCACTGTTCTAGGTTTGTACAGAGTACCTATGGTATGTGCTTCTCCCTTACCATCTATTTATTCTTCTGAATGATAATGAGTTAATGTGAAATATAAAGTCAGTTGTAACCATGAACCAGTCAACCTTACAAAGTTGACATATGTAGAATCTGTGTTTTTCACAGGTGAGTTATTTTGCCACATGTTCCTGCCTGAGTGACCGGCAAAAGTTTCCATCCTTCTTTAGGACAATTCCAAGTGATGCTTTCCAGGTAAAATGTTAATGAAAATGCATAAAATGAATCATGTTCATTTAAAAAGAAGTACCAGAATAACCATCCTTATATTATAATGAAAAATATTTGCCTTTTTTGTTTTACCAGTCATATTACTTGTGTTATTAATAATTATTCCTTTTCAAATAACAAATTTGAAAAGGAATAATTATACTGCTCAAAAAAATAAAGGGAACACAAATAGTTGAATGTCTTATTTTTGTGTTCCCTTTGCTATCAGCAAAATGAAAATGTATAAGACAAATGAATTTACATGCAAACAGCAGAATAACTTTACATAAAATGAAGCACTGTCATTTAGATATTGTTTCATTATAAAAAATATATATATATTCTTCTTGTGTTTCACCAGTCACATTTCTTGTGTCATTAATGGAGCTGTATGATCATAGATAAAGCCAAAGGGGAATATTTAAAGTAGTCTATTGTAGAAACTGGTTAGTGGATTTTTCATTGAAAATGCATGTGCGGCAATCCCTCCTTACATAGGTGCGTGCTGTGATTCAGATTCTGAAACACTTCAGCTGGACTTGGGCAGGTCTACTGATCAGTGATGATGACTATGGACTATATGCTGCCCGATCCTTCCAGTCTGACTTGGCTCAGTCTGGTGGAGGTTGTCTGGCCTACTTAGAGGTTTTACCCTGGAGCAAGGACACAGCTGAACTAAGGAGGATTGTGAAAGTAATGAAGAAATCCACAGCTCGTGTGGTCATTGTGTTCGCACACGAGAGTCACATGATTGACCTCATGGAAGAGGTTGGGCTTTACAATTTAATGTTTTAATTTTCAATTGGAATAATGTCATAGATAGATACAGTATATACAGTATATATTGCCTTACAATATCAGAATCAGAATCAGCTTTACTGGCCAGGGGTGACGGACACACAAGGAATTTGACTCAGGTACATCGGCATAAGGTTGTGTAATATAACAAAATACACATTATTTACAAGCAACAAACTGTGCAAACAATAAGCAGTATAAACAGGCAGTGAACAATGCAGACAGACAAGGAATGCTCATTTCTCATAGAGTACTTAAAATAGAGCCCTGTATGGATCTAAGTAGTCTGTACAATGTACCTGTATTTACACCTAAAAACACCACATAGAAAACTAATTAAATAAGTAGAATCCATTTTTCATTGGTCATACTGCTAGCAGGATTGTGGAAATGATGAAGAAATCCACAGCTCGTGTGGTCATTGTGTTCGCACATGAGAGTCAAATGATTGACCTCATGGAAGAGGTTGGGCTTGAAATACAAATTATAATTTTATGTTTCTTTGTCAGACTGAAAGGTTTTAATTTATTATAACGCTACTGCTAGCAGGGTTTTGGGTTAAGATTACGTATACGAATCATACTGAACTCATATGACGGGATTGTCTGAATGACTAAAGCAAAACATCAATTGAGTAAACAATGTATAATTCAGAAGCCTAGACGATACTTTATTGGGACTGTAAGATAAATTTGCAGAGGTTTGGAGGCAGTTTGTCCAAAATGGTTTTGTAAGTAAAATGTACCAATGACTCAGTCACACACATACTTCAAATATAGCAAATATAGTCCCCAGATGTTACAAAACAATATACAAAGTAAGCTGCAAGTGAACACTGTCAAACAAACTCTGCAGTTTATAAAGGATCAATTTCATGCACAGGTGGTGAGGCAGAATGTGACCGGCCTGCAGTGGATAGCCAGTGAAGCATGGACATCAGCTACTGTGCTGCAGACCCCTGACCTCATGCCATACCTGGGTGGCACACTGGGCATTGCCATTCGTCAAGGAGAAATACCAGGGTTCAGGGATTTCCTGTTACAAATACGCCATGAACTACACCTGAACACCAACAATGGCAGATAGCTGAAAGGACTTATCCTGCCACTGAGTGATAGCAGTAGGCATTCGGAAATATCAATGATGTCACTTTATGATGTCTTCATATGTTCATAAGTGTATTATAGAGTTTGACTGTTGATTAACCACTGCTCATCATGGTCTCATCACCTTTTTCTCTATCTGGGCAGGTGTGATACCAAGTTTCACTGCACATACTTAAAGGAGTAGTCTGATGTTTAGTATAGTATTTAGGGGTATAAATACACACCTATGAGAGTGCTAATTGTAAACTGCATAGCAGATAGCTGAAAGGACTTATCCTGCCACTGAGTGATAGCAGAGAAGTCTATAACTTGTCAGTAGGCATTCGGAAATATCAATGATGTCACTTTATGATGTCTTCATATGTTCATAAGTGTATTTGTTCTTCTCTATCTCTCATTCTGATTTTCTTAGCTGGTGTATTATTTGGAAAAAGTCAACTTCACCACATCATTTGGAGATCAAGTGTCATTTGATGAGAATGGTGATGTATTACCAGTATATGACATCACGAACTGGATGTGGCTCCCTGATGGAAGAACTCAGGTTCAGAGTGTGGGTGAGGTGAAGAAGTCACCTCTCAAAGGTGAAGAACTCACACTTGATGAGGATAAAATCTTCTGGAACTTTGAGTCCAAAAAGGTTATTTCTATTATTTTTGACTCCTACCTTTGTGTTTTGATCCATGGATTACTCATTATAGCAGTGTTTAGTAGTGATTTTAAAACAAATTTTTATTTTTCTTCCCCACAGCCACCCCGGTCAGTGTGTAGCGAGAGCTGTCCACCAGGTACCCGCATGGCAAGAAAGAAGGGGGAACCTGTGTGCTGCTTTGACTGCATCCCTTGTTCTGAGGGAAAAATCAGCAATGTGACGGGTTGGTGTTTACTTTTAAATATTGTAGTTTGGAGATATACACTGAGCAAAATTATAAACGCAACACTTTTGTGTTTGCCCCCATTTTTGCATTTAGATTACTGACTTGCAATAATCATGCTATCTAATCAGCATCTTGATATGCCACACCTGTGAGGTGGATGGATTATCTTGGCAAAGGAGAAGTGCTCACTAACACAGATTTAGACAGATTTGTGAACAATATTTGAGAGAAATAGGCCTTTTGTGTACATAGAACATTTCATAGATCTTTGAGTTCAGCTCATGAAAAATGGGGTCGAACACAAAAGTGTTGCACTTATAATTTTGTTCGGTGTAATATGCAGATTTAGCCACACAAATTGGATACTGTATAAATTTGGGGTGTGTATCTCTCCCTCTCACACAGTACATACTGTATCTTGATACATTGTCCATGATTAGATACAAACACGATACTGCAAAATGTGTAATGATATGATACAGTACAATTCAGTGATTCAGCAGATATTCAATTTTAATTTTGTATTTATTTGAAAGACTGTACATACATTAAAGCATCTGTTTAGGTTATGAAATTAAAAAGAGTTAGTGTTTCCTCAAAGCATGTTTGGATTTCAAGCAGCAAAATCCAAGGAGATAAAACCTGATGTCTACTCCTTTTAACAATAGTAAAAAATGGGCACTGGTGAACAGTAACCCTCCAGCAGCTAAAATAAACCATTCAGAGCTGGAATGTATTTTAACTTAAATCCTGCTGACTTGTTATTGTGTGCCTCAGCTTCAGAGTCACTGTCATTTATCCAAATCCCACATTTTCAACAACACATGCAAATGAAATTGCTTATAGCTTCAGTTACTGACTTCAACCCAACTGGGTGGAATTATCAGCTGATGTGCTCTGAAAGTAGCTGCTAACAACACTAGCAGTGCTTTTTGCCTCAAGCCGACTGCCCTCGCAGCAAACTGTGCTGCTTTCATTGGTTCAATAATGTGTCGCCTTTGTAACATTTCTACTTTTGAGGTTGGTGGTGATCCCAGTATAAGCGTCTCAATAAAAGCGCTGCATGTTCTGCACCCTGAGGTAGCTGCTAAAACTAGCACTGCTTGCTCCTGCAGCTATCTGTACTGTACTATTCATATCTGGACCTGCATCATTAGGAAGGAGGGTGTTTGAACGCCGGCAGGAGATGATACATACACACACACACACACATCAGAGGCACACACTAGAGTGAATCACAGCGAGAAGTAACCGAAAACTTGTCAAAGATTGCTTTATGAGGTCCATATCGATTTTAGACAGTTTTTGACAGTTTTTGAAGTTATTGTTTGAATCTGTGGTTTTCAACCAATGTAGCCATAAATCTGACTCTTGTAGCAATTTTCCAATTCATATACATAAGTTTATCTTTACACCCCTAGTTTATATACTAAGAAACTGCAACAGCAAGTATGTTTTGTAAGAGACCTAATTGCTAGCCACATTATATTTACTTTGGTTGAAGTTGCATTAGTTATGATCAGGGGTTAATTTGTGCTTGAACAAGCTGGATTGGGCATCTCATTTATAAAAAAAATACATTAATAATATTTTTAAAAAATCCAACGTCTGATATTACAACAGCATATTCTATTGGTACAACTAGCCTTTTACAACAGCATATTGGACTAAAATAGAATAGAATAATTCAATACAATAAAAAGGTTCAAGGATTTTATTGTCAATTCACCTTATGTGCAGGACATACAGAAAATCAAAATACCGTTTCTCTCTCACCTATTATTGGGTGCCATAACATTTAGGAACTAAAATAGAATAAAGTAGAACAAAAATAGAATAGAATAGAATAGAAAGGAACTGGATTGATGTAATTAGGATAAATCTAAATGGTACAGCAAATAAGATGTGACTCAAAACTGTGTACAGTCAGTGACAGTAGTGCAAAACAATAATAGGAGATTGTCAGATGGTTCAGCATTACAGGTTGGTGATGAGGTGCAAATAGCATATGAGGTATACATGGATAGTATTGCAATTGACCAACAGCAGCAGATATCCTGGCCAAAAAAAAACAGTCAGCAGCAGTTTTGCATATAACATACAGTAAAGCAGCAGAGGTGTTGTTTTTTTTTTGTTGTTGTTTCCACAATAGTCAGCAGCAGATGTACCTGTAATATAACAAAAAGGGGAATGTATTGAGTTTTTTTTTTATTGAGTCTTTTTATATGTGGTGGGTTATTGTGTAGGGGCAGAGGGGGGGAGGTAGTGAACAGTGTTCAACATCCTCACGGCCTGGTGAATGAAGCTGTTTGTAAGTCTGGTGGAGACTCCGATACCTTCTCCC